TTTGTTTTTTTTTAAAGTTAAATTCTCGTTTAAGCAATTACAAAGATATTTTTAAGTTGTTTTGTTGACGTGACAACGTCTTATAATTCGATGGAGCCGGCTGCACGCACGAAAAAACATGACTCATGCGGCGTTGCCTCGCTCTGAGGCGTTCCATTTAAGGCTTGAAGTGCAAGCGAGAGCGCGCAACGAGCGACAAAGAGGCACAATCGGCCTCCGCGTTCGGCTGCGTTCGACATCTGTCTCTCTCCTGCTTGAGTGAGCGATGCATCCCCGTGGACAGCTGCTATACAATAATACATTTACATGTTTTCGTCAAGTATGAAGTTCTGTGAAAAGTGAATGTGGTGTCAATTGTCCATACAAAATATCTATCAAACAAATAAAATTAAAATTTTCTTTTGAAAAATGAAACCATTCAATCAGTATTTTCTTATGACGTTGTCACGTTCAACTATCGTCAGTAAACCGACTTTACAGACAACCGATTTTTTTTTTAAAGTTAAATTCTCGTTTAAGCAGTTACAAAGATATTTTCAAGTTGTTTTTGTTTTTTTTTTGTTATGTTTTGTTTTAGAAATTCTGTTCGGCTTAATCATCGAAAGCACGCGAGCCAATGATCCCGGTGCGGTACACGCGACAGACTTCCGTGTCATTATGCGGGAGCGATACAAAGCGGGCGCGTGCCGATCAGATCGCCAGCACGCCTCCTCGCCTATTGTTTCATCACCGGCTTTATGAACGACTAAGCTTCCTGACTTGTGTCATGACTTGTTCGCCGGCAGATTATGTCGACGCGTGAAATAATACGAAAATAAAGATTCGTGGAGTAAGAATTCTGATTTTTTTTACTGGTGGAAGGACTTTTTGTGAGTCCGCGCGGGTAGGTACCGCCGCCTTGCCTATTTCTGCCGTGAAGCAGTAATGCGTTTCGGTTTGAAGGGTAGGGCAGCCGTTGTAACTATACTTGAGACCTTAGAACTTATCTCAAGGTGGGTGGCGCATTTACGTTGTAGATGCTCCAGTAACCACTTAACACCAGGTGGGCTGTGAGCTCGTCCACCCATCTAACCAATAAAAAAAAATACTGTCTAAATCTAAATCGTTTAAGTTAAAGCTATTATTTGTACATTCGTTGGTTGCGGCCATTCAGGGAATGTTGAAGGAAATATTTGTCCAGTACGTGCGTGAATACATTTAGATACAGTCACAACGTAACCTGGACGAAATGCGGTATTTTCAAGTAAAATAAGCGATATTTGTATAAAATTTAATAGTTTTCAAAAAAGGAAGAGGCTGTTAGCTGATTTTTTTACCTACGGACTTTTTCTATATGTAACGAATTTTTTAATCCCATTTAAAATCTCACCAGTAGTTTTTGGGTTATCCTTGATATGTAATACATACGCAATCTACTTCGATTACATTTTATTGGTGGTAGGACCTCTTGTGAGTCCGCGTGGGTAGATAACACCACCCCGCCTATTTCTGCCGTGAAGCAGTAATGCGTTTCGGTTTGAACAGTGGGGCAGCCGTTGTAATTATACTTGAGACCTTAGAACGTATATCTCAAGGCGCATTTACGTTGTAGATATCTATGGGCTCCAGTAATCACTTAACACAACCGCTGAGCTTATCCAAACATCTAAGCAATAAAAAATAAATGTTATTTGATTTTGACGAAGTCGGTATTCTTTTAATCTTCCTCAAAAATTTTGTATTACATAAAATGATAATGAAATGACACCTGAACAATGAAGAAGCTAAGCGACCAGTTTTGTCACGTCCTTACGGATCCATCAGATCCAATAACCTTTGCATTAGATGCCTTCAGCTCTAATACTAGGAGCAGGCTTAGGGACCCCAGTAACCGTACTCGTCGAACTCGACAAAGAGGTCGACGTGCAACCTAGCCCATGCATCAGCCCGCTGAGTTTCTCGCCGGATCTTCTCAGCGGGTCGCGATTCCGATCCGGTAGTAGATTCATTCGCGAAGCAATTGCTCTTGAGTTGTTAGGTCTCCTTCGGAGGCGCTCGGGCAGCTGTTAGCAAATCCCACCCCTCCTGGCTGAGCCTTTGCTCGCCCATCTGTCCTNAGCAGGCTTAGGGACCCCAGTAACCGTACTCGTCGAACTCGACAAAGGGGTCGACGTGCAACCTAGCCCATGCATCAGCCCGCTGAGTTTCTCGCCGGATCTTCTCAGCGGGTCGCGATTCCGATCCGGTAGTAGATTCATTCGCGAAGCAATTGCTCTTGAGTTGTTAGGTCTCCTTCGGAGGCGCTCGGGCAGCTGTTAGCAAATCCCACCCCTCCTGGCTGAGCCTTTGCTCGCCCATCTGTCCTGGTGAAACTGGAAAGGCCTTCGGGCCACCAGTAATCTCTCAATCATAAAAAAAAGACCAGTTTTGTTATCTAGCGAAACAAGCATCCCATAATCGGTTGCACAACAGGTACGGAATAGGAGCGGCCGGCTTCGCTATTCGCACGCGATCTTGCCTAATCACCGCCGCGGCACATTTGTCGGATAACTTTCACTATCACACGTTATGGCACGAACAAAGATCTTGATAAAATCATTATTCGTTATTAAAAACAGGTGAAACCACAGTTACGGCAGTCGCAACCTTGCCCGGGACACGCTCCGTTGACTCCGCGGTCTTTTGTTAACGTTTACTTTGTTACTAATATTTCACAGAGTTTTAGCGTCTGCACAGAAAACTTAGCACTAATTATGTTATTTTTGTATGTTAGTCTCGATATTTATTCACATTCGGGTACAGCCGTGAAATAGCCTTGAATTTACACTGTGCTCTCGGAGTCCATAATATTTTGAATTGTTAGTAACGATAAAACCATGTGTGTGTTATAATATATATGTCATTTTGAAAAATCTTAACAAATATTACGTGAATGAAATTTTACGCGTTCTTTATATCACTGTCATTGATCATTGTTTTATTATGTAAGGCGTCATTCGTTTCCTCACTGCTCCGTGTAACTTGGAGGTTAGAACAAGCATTTCGAACACTCGTTAATAATTAGGGTCAGTTTAATTATGTAGATAAGCGATGTGGACCACGACAATGCAATTTGACAAGTTCAAATCTAATCCTGATCACGATTTATTGCGTAAGCTAAAAAAATTATGAAGAAATAAGACAGTGTTAATAGGAAAGTCCAATTTGTTTACAAGCATTTAAAGCAGTGGTTCCCAAGCTTATTTTGTCTATTGCCCACTTTGAAGATAAAATATTTTTTAGCGCCCCCATTTTTTCACCTACTTAAAAACAGCGAGAGCTCAGTCGGTGTATAAGAGTCCTCCTAGCTGAAATTACAAATCACCTCCCAAGCCTCTACACAACGCCCCCTTTTTTCTGGGACTCTTGCTTCCTCCCTTTAGGTCTATAGCGCCCACAAGGGCGCGTTATCGCCCACTTTGGGAAAGCCTGATTTAAAGTGAAAATATATTTAAACGTTATTCTCGTACTTATATTAGACTAGTATTACGTGCAACGTACAGCAATTACTAATGCAATAGAAGACGTAATTGCTACCCAATCTTTAGGGAAATATAGCCAACACGACTGCATTGGCTAAATCGTTTGTCCTGCGAATCAACTATTAAACGAAAATGATCTTGGAGTGAAAAGGGCACTTGGGATCCATTAGAAGATATAGGTTAATCAACTCACTCAACAGTGGTACAGCTGTGCGTTTACAATTTCCACTTTTCGAAATCAAGAAAGTTGAATTAAACAAAGAGAAAAATAAAGGGGTTGATAGATCAGCTGATAAAATTATATCTAATGTCGAATTAATTGGTCGAACTATACATGTCTAGTCATTAACGACAAACAAAACCAGTAAAGTAGCAATGAATATTGACAATGAAACAAAATTAAGGACCATTCACGATACATAACGAGGTAATGATATTAATGCATGTAGGTGTACAAAATAGATCGATTGTTGCATTGGATCCAGTTGTTGAATGTAAGCGAAACTAGGTCAGCCACGTGCCACAATAAGTTTAGTCAAATGTACTTTAGATTTGCTTAATCCATTCCGTTTGGTTATCTGTTTTGAAATACGTTACATGTAGTTTTAATTAAATCGATACTGATTGTAAATCACGAATGTTTTTGCTTTTGTTATTATTGGATTCGTTTCTTTCTTTGCTTATTTATAGGACAAGCTTAAGTTTGAATGATCGGTTATAGCTGAAACGATTTTATTATTTGACTAGCTGACCCGGCAGACTTCGGAGAGCCCCAATCGATAAATAAAACACCTAAGCTTTTGTATAAAATAAACTTAAAACAAACAAAAGGAATCCGTCCGACGGGGGACACATCAAAGGAAAAACAAAATTGTTATTTTTATTCAATTCCGAACGTTTTCATTAATTTATCTACCTTTTAAACCTTCTCTGCACTTCCACAAATAATTCAGGACCAAAATTAGCCAAATCGGTTCAGCCGTTCTCGAGTCTTAGCGAGACTAACGAACAGCAATTCATTTATATATATATAGATTTCAAGTTGTTGTCCTTATATTGACATAAATATAGAGATCTTTAGAAATATTTTTATAAGCAATAAGAATTTGATTTCAATTGAAGTGTAGCTAAATTTTTCTTTAACATTTCAATCTTGTAATATTATCTTCTCTTTGAGTACGACAAAGTAAAAAAAAACTAATGATTGTAGGATTGTGTGTTAAGTCGTCTCTTTATCCTCGCTCACATTTTCGAGAAATTTAACTAAGCTATCATTCGTTATGTCCAAACTTTTATTGGACTTGCAACGGATGTAGATTTTACAGAAATTTGAAATTTAAATGAGTGATTATATTTACGTGAAAAATAATTATGTTTACTTTCTAGATTTTTTTTTTAACACAATTAAACCCTCACCCCCCTGACTTAAGGTTGTGCACAGAGTAACATTCTTTCATAGGTACACGTTGGTGGATTTAGGCTATTGGTGTAATCACTTACCTCATGCCGTCAAAGCCGTCATCGGACCCATTAATCGTGAGCACTGGCGCTCGCGCATACGCTTTGGCAACGCGACGATTCTTCTCGAAAACAATCACCTTCGCCCATATCTCGTCGTCGATTTGTGTCCATTTGTCCAGCACTTCCTGTATATGTTCCTGGTAACAAAAGAAAAAAATTAGTTAAGGCATTTTTTAACAATTTTTTTTATTGTTGCTTAGATGGGTGGACGTGCTCACGGCCCAAGTGGTTACTGGAGACCATAGATATCTACAACGTAAATGCCGCCACCCACCTTGAGATATGAGTCCTAAGGTCTCAGTATAGTTACAACGGCTGCCCCACCCTTCAAACCGAAACGCATTATTGCTTCACGGTAGTAATAGGCAGGGTGGTAGTGGTGGTGGTGGTGGTACCTACCCGTTCGGGCTCACGAGAGGTCCTAATACCAGGATAAAAACTAGACGTTTTCACCAAAATGCTTGCTAATTAAACGCCATAAATCAACACTTTTATACTGTCTCAGATAATCACAATTACAAAATCTTATCATACTGAAGGATTTCGCTCTGATTTTTAGATAATAATAATAATTATTTATTTATTTGTCTCACAAAGGTATAATACAAATAGATTAACCTTATAATTTATTTTGTTAGCCTTTGAAAGCGCAGATGGCATCGGTTGGCCTTACCCAATACCCGAGATAGGGATAATGGGGTGAGGTAGGTTGGAAAATAAGATGAGATAGAAGTAGACTATACTATTCTTCTTGCTAGCCTTTCATCGCATGGTCTGGCCGGGGGCCAACATTCGCGGTCGCGTCGGTTCCTTGTCTCCACTCAAGTACTTGTTCGCTCAGTAATGATCAGCACTGCTACCGATCTTCGTTTTTTAATATATTTTTTTATTTCCCTTGTAGGCAGACGAGCATACAGCCCACCTGATGGTGAGTGAACGTAAACGTTTTAATAAACACTCTATTATATTCGTAATACAAATCATAGCAGTGAAAAAATAGAATTCAATGAACTCGACAGTTTGCAGGGTAAATTCTTAGAACTACCACGAAAAAATTGATGGATCGAAACATTTGACGATCGATCATTGCTTTATTCAATAAAACATATAGAAGAACCGTTACTAAATTATTCACGCTATAATATTATTGTATATATTGAACATAGCGATATTGAATATATATTACGGTACAGAAATCCAAATACAAATAAATATGTATGTACATGGAAATATTTCAATTTTTTATTTCTTAAACTAGTAATACCAAAGTAGAACTTGAGGTCGTATTATTGGTATATTGAGGTATTATTAATAGACTACAATAAATGTCATTGATATCTTCGAACGTACCTAAATAATTACTTCTGCTTATTAAGGAACAAGGGTTATTTTGTGTTAAAATACTTAATATTATCAGCATAATCGGCCTTGCATTGTGACGATTACGCAATTTTTAAAAACATTACTTCGAAGTTGGCAACACTGGCGCAATAAGATGACATCGGATTTTAAACGCTGCAACACTGTTCCGCTCTACTTATTCGCATCTAAGTAGCTACTGTGAAACTTGCATGTAGTTTAACTATTTATAGAAATTAATTGTATTCGTTGCTTTGTTTAATTTTAAGCTAATCAGTTGATAGTCTGGTAGACCGTCTCAATCTTCGAATCAGAACGGAAGACTGTTTCGCGGTCGAAAATACCAATATGATGGTATCGAGTGGTGCTGGCTTCTTATACGTTTTACCAACTGTAAATTCCAATTGGCGATCGCTACTTTTTTTTTATTGCTTAGATGGGTGGACGAGTTCACAGCCCACCTGATGTTAAGTGGTTACTGGAGCCCATGGACATCTACGACGCAAATGCGCCACCCACCTTGAGATATAAGTTCTAAGATCTCAGTATAGTTACAACGGCTTTTTTTTTTTTTTTTTTTTTTTTTTTTTTTTTTTTTTTTTTTTTTTTTTTTTTTTTTTTTTTTTTTTTTTTTTNACCTAAACCTAATCCTAAGCCTAGGACCTAAACCTAAGAATCCTTGCAACGAAAAAGATCGGACGATACCTCTGGGAATGTCGCCCAGAGGATCCCGTGATCCGCCACCTACGGACGCGCCCGGTGGAAGTCCAACATCTCCCTCGCAGACGGGGCCCACAGCACGCAATGATTGCGTGCTGTGGGCCCCGCCCAGATCCCGGGATAGTTACAACGGCTGCCCCACCCTTCAAACCGAAACGCATTACTGCTTCACGGCAGAAATAGGCAGGGCGGTGGTACCTACCCGCACGGACTCACAAGAGGTCCTACCACCTTGTAGATGTCTATGGACTCCAGTAACCACTTAACATCAGGTGGGCTTTGAGCTCTTCCACCCATCTAAGCAATAAAAAAAAGAAGAAAAAGCGATGGGACGGCGCTATTATTATTATTTTTTTACCTATATATACGCTGGTAGCTTAATTGGCTATTCCAGCTACGCCTGGACGGTTAGGTGAGCTCAGGGGCTTGACTTGAGAGAAATTGCTAACTAGTCCTAGCAAAAGCATCTACCACCGGGTCGGAATCGCGATCCACTGAGAAGATTCACTTAGTTCCCTAAGTGGTCTGCGCTATTCTATTTAGTACCTAGCTTATAATATAAATGTAACATAACAATTATAGAATCTATTTATCTATCTATAGTGTATAGACACTAATATCCCATGCACTACTCAATAAGATGCGTCCGCAGAGTGCAATGTAACTCCAACAATAGTTTTAAACAAAACTACATAGCGTCATAAAACAGTGTTATTTAGTTACCGCGATGAATAACTGTCGAAAGTGTTACAAATTACAAGGAAAAAGCAAAACATGATGACGCTTAAAATAAAACGCCTTATTTCCTAAACTTATCGATGGAATTACATCCGTAATTCCACTGGTATTAAGTCGCATTTGTTGTAATGAATTGTTGCGATATAAAACAATTTGCGAGGGCATCGGCCCGTGTAAACGCACCTCTGTTTTTGCTCACACGTAACAATAAACTTACAATTATGCCACTAAAAAGCTGGTTCTAAGTACACCGTTAGTTTTGGCAAAAAGTTTGTAATGTTTCTGCCGAATGATCGCGGTTTTCGGGTTGTCAGTGTCTTGAGCAAAATCGATTATTTTAATTATTTATTTGTTTTTAATACACTGATGTGATCAGAAAATTAATCAACATAATATAGACATACATTAATAAGACGAAAATATGAAAAAAAAGTATTTCGTAATGTTATTTGATTGCAGGTAAGGTGTAGGTAATGATAAACACAATTTGGCAAAATATATGTGAAAATCCACATAAATTAATAGACATTACCTACATAGCGATAAGACCGTGCATTGTACTTTTAATCCTTATTGTTTTGCATTTGTTTTGATTATAAATTGGTGTATAATAAAGCACACCCTACTCCACTCTATATAATGCATTACAAAAGGTTACGCATTACCTTCATCATCTATAACCGCAAACCTTTCGATTATGAATTCGATACAAAACTTAAGACTGTTAAATGTCAGTGCGATCTATAAGCCAAGGACGGACCTGCTTCATCTTGGGTTTTGATTTAATATATTTTTGGGTCTGAAAAAATGACATTGTATTCAACCTTTTTAGGAACTGGCTAGGTCAACATGTATGTCATCGTATTTTTTATTAAAAATTGTATACAACGCATAGCTTTATTAATCTTACGAAGTCAGCGATGACCCTAGAGCCAACAAAGAAAAAGCAAATCGTTAGTTTTACAATTGTTTTCATTTCTTACATAACAATTAACCACCGTAGGTTTAAAAAATGATTCGTTTTTGTTCCGAAGTCAAATTCACTTTCCGTTTTTTATTTCATACGAGAGCAAAACCGAAGAAGTAGCCGTTATTAAAATAACAGTTACCGACCGCGATCGTTGTGATTCTCAAATCGTGTGAAAGAGTTATTGACTTTCAATTATTTTTTCTCGATCGTACCTACCGTGAATCTATTCATCGTGGTTCGAGTTCAACGTGTTTTGTAAAATGATTTAATGCATGAATGACTCCAAAGCGATTTTGGGTCATCAGATATTTTATTCTTGACTGTAGATGCTTCTTAAATATCACTTTTAATCAAGATTTATTTACAAATAATAAAATATTTTGTAAGATCAGTAAAGAGCAATCATAGCTTTATTTTGTAACTACTTAGATACGTTGAATAACGACTACAAGCTGGTTTTAAATAAAAAAATAAAAAGGTCAAAACAAATATATTCAATAACATGATATTATAATTATATTAGCAAGAGAAATCAAATTATTTGTTCATTCTATGTTACATTGATAAGATCATTAACTTGAAACCCCGAATCCCATTTTTGCAGGATAGCCGTCGGAGCCCCGTGGTTCGTCAGGAACATCGATCCGCATGACGTCCTGAACTTACAGTCCATCAGCCTATTCCGTGGACACAGCCCTCTGAGTTTCTCGCCGGAACTTCTGAGGTCGCGTTTCCGATCCAGTGGTAGATTCTGCGAAGCACGGCTCTTGCTAGTGTTCGTGTTAGCAACATCGTCAGGTTTGAGCCCTCTGACCTCACCTACTAGTTAAGGTTACGGTGAAATGGTCTCTTTAGACCATCAGCTTAGGTAGGAAAAAAAGATACAGATCGATTTAAAAACTAAAAATATGACTCTAATACAAATTAAATAAACCAAGTAATTCTTGATTTGATCATTGGAATTATTCTAATTTTCAAATACATTAAGGGTAAAAATGATTGAATATGCAATAATAATTTTAAAAATATTAGATTTGAAACATATTCTTTTGGATTATCAATATCCGTATGCGTTTTGTCTAGCCACACTGGGTGGTGGTTATATCTGCTCGGCTTTATTATTGTTTTTTTATGGATATAACATCAAAACATACCTCACAAAACAAACACTTTATCTGATTGCGTTCCTTTATCCTACCATGACTGTACGCAATCATTCTCCGACACATATCATTGGTATTCCATCCATGAGTGGTGTATTACTCCTTGACACTTTCTTGTACCGGTGTCGCGTCGTAAGGCCAGGCACATACGTACAACACCGTCGGAACTGTTTGGTTAGAGTTGTAT